GCCTAAGCTTTAAGGATCTCTGCTCATTTGCTGCTGTTCATTTTGAGAATACTATTATTGAAAATCACGTGTTAGGTAAATGTTACAATAACAGCATTACAGCGATTTTAATATTTTTGAGCTAATCGTGTCTTTTTCATGGGGTATATGGTAGTTACAAATTAGTTCACGGCATGCATGAGATCATCAAGGTTATCCATTCAACAAACTATGTTTTCGTCATTAGTCCAAATGTACTTTTAATCAGAAGTTTATTGCCTCCTTCTTTGGTTATTTACAAATGTAGCAACAGATTTGGTAAACAACTGGTAACTAAGTGTGTTTGGTATCCTAGCAATATATGAATTCTGTGGATTCTTCAATTGCATTTTCTAGTGAATTTTTATATAGTTGCAATACATTTGTCATCATCTTGTCATCATCTATGATTCCATATATACTAAACGTTATTTTGTGATAATCGTCATGTATACAAATATTAAGATTATAGGGATGAGTTCAAGCAAAGTGATTGACAAATTAATAAATATTTCATCGCCCCTATTCTTCGGCACCTGAAACTTACTTATGTAACAATTACCGACCCCTAATTAAAGCATGAATTACGAGGGGGCATCTCACGACATTTCCCATAATGACTCAAATTAAAAATACTTTGCTCAACTTTGCGCCCCCCCCCCCATTTTACCAATTTATATTCTGCCATTACAAGCTAATTCTGATATATATTTACTGAAGCTTTGGTATAAGGGATAGGTACAAATGTCAAAGATGATAAAGTAGCTTACAGCAATATCACTATTATAAGTACAAAATAACATGACTGTCAACTTTTGTCTCAAAGAATTTCTGTTACCAACTTTGTCATTATGTCTAGGACAACCAGGAAATATGCTGCTAAGTAAAAAGGCTTAATTTAGGGCTTGTTTTGGATCTCTTGCTTGGACTAGTCTGGCTTTAGAAATTAACATTCAGCATGGATCTTCCTGAGCTAAAATAAAATATATTTATCAAACATCATATAAAGCGCCTAAATCTATTAATGGATATTATCCGGTCAGAAAAAAAAGCGGAAAGATACAAAAATAAAACCTTTTAATATTTGCTGTATTCGCATTCAGCACTGTTCTCTAAGGAAAGCAGTTCTTGCTGTTAATTATCGAGATCCTCATTGTAACCTGCTTTAACTTTGGCTATACAGAGCATTGTCATTAAGTTTATCTTTTTTCAATTTCATAAATGTTATTATGACAGTTTATGGTTTTTGTTTTCTCTGGCGAAATAAGCAGAACATTGGAATTGTTAATGTGATATATTAAAGATACTTTAAAACGCGGTGAGACAACCATGAGTGATTAACTTTGGAAGCAAATTTGAATTTCGCATCTGCAAAACAACAGAAATCCGAAATTAATCCAAGGACGTTTTGGTGTCATTCATTTTTATCAGTGTTAACTATCTGTTTATGAAGATATCAGTAACAAGATCGATGACGTAGGATAGTACTCAATGTCTTACGTACATGTGACATTTTAAGACTGACTTCACGTTCACTGCTCAATACAGCTGTAATATTTCAGGGTACATCTTTCGCTCACAAGCTCTTACTCTCTCTATATAAGAAACAACCCTGGAGCTTGTTTAGTAACATCTCTTTATTTCTACAGTCTGTTCTGTGACATAACGGATACCCTCTTGGCAACTCTAAAAACAAATATAAATTTCCTGAGTGATCTCTTACACGTGTTCCTACCTTAGTGGGTCGAAAAATGTATGTCTTTATGTAACGACGTTCCTTGATGTGGTTATTATGCACGCTTCAGCCTCGTGACGTTCTATGTCTTTTAACTGCATATTCGATAAGCTTCCTCGAAATGATATTTGAATTTCGCTAAAATGTGAAATCTGTTTGTAAGTCACAAGTATGTTAAAAATCTATAAAAACAAACATAGTTCAAACTTAATATTACAATATAAATATAACATTAAGTTTATTTAATTAAAATTCATAAAATTTACAGAAAATGGCGAAATCATTAAAGATCTCTGGAATTATGTTTCCAGAAGTTTCGAATAAAGATATATAAAGGGATATCTGAACTAAATCATCCCTAATTTTGAACCAATAAACGGCAAGCAGTTGGTCAAAAGCACTCACCGCCATCTCTTGGGCTACTCTTGTTTGACAACATAGTGAAATTTTATAGTCACTATTATAGCGTACTCACGGTTCTAAAGTGTGAAACGCTTTTGTGCGACAACTGGCCGCGAACCATGAACGCTCGGATTCACATTCTGATCACACTAAATCTTGGTCACCTCGGGCCTATTATTTTCTTAAATAACCGGGTGGCTAACAATATAAAATATCATTAGTAATTAGTAATAATCTTTCGGTTTATCTGTATAGAAACATTGTTACGTATATTTTCTGAAAACATATCTCACTAATTTTTCAAAGTGGAACACTAAAGGTTAGCATGATGCAGAAATTTGACAAGTTATCGAAATCCCCAGTTATGTATCTGTGTGTGGGGGACCGGGGTAAGTGTACGAACTTACAACGCTAAAATCCGGGGTTCGATTCATCGTCTTTGCTCTAAAACAAACAAGCCTCACAAGTCATAGCCTCACCTTCTTGCCAGGAGAAAACAAAAACAAAAACGTGCACCAGTTCTTACATTGCCCTATGCAATCGTTATAAATTAAACTATTATGAGCCTACAAGAGATTGTTATATTTCCACGAATAACAGTTTTGGTTGATAAGAGCATATAAATATAAAACATGGAGGGTTTATGTGCAGAATATTGTTAACAAGGTTTTACTGCGCAACCGCATTCAAACTTAAATAGACTTCTCAGAACATTTCTTCTTCATTGTGATTGCTTAAGAGAACTAGAATATGTCTTGTGTAATGACAATAAAATAATAAAAAAATTCTTCAGGTTGGGTTATTGTCTTGACAACCACTCGATTGCCATAGTACAGCTACAGTCGCGAACCTATGTCATGAAAAATTTACTATTAATGTGGAAAACCCTTTTTTGCCTACTTTTCTACCAACCCACGTTATTAGCTACTAAAATAGAGTTAGCAATATTTATGGTGTTATAAACCTTGATATTTCATTTTTCTTTATTTTAGCAGTCGTTGAATTGCTGATCATAATGGAAAACGCAATCATGTTTTGAACCATTTCTAGGCCTAAATTATAATTATTTAATCTAGCATTTAATTTCGTGATTTGCCGAGAATCGACAATCCAAACGTACAAGGAATTATAGCACTTGTGCCACCTAAATGCATGAGGACGGAAAATAAGCCACTCAAATCTTGTTTGAAAACGATAAATGCTATTACAAGGCTCAAAACACTTAATAATAAAACAATGTTTTTGACTAATGAATTTTAAGCGTCATCACTAAGTTGTTCAACAATGTTCTTGCATTGGAAGACATGCCAGAAAATCACACATCATCTTTCTCGTGTTACGAGTGTTCTTGTGTGGCAAGGTTAAATACATATTAGGTCGTCAAGAAATTAATGTCACGTTTTGTAACACCTTCATTAACCCCCTCCCCCCCCCAAAAAAACGTACATCACTTATAATAGTTAAACGAACCGCCTAAACGTCACGTTAGTGTAGCCTATATAATGGGTAAAGTTTAGTGTACTCTAATCCATTATAGTGATGGCACACGACGAGACACACATTCGGCATGTAATGCTGTTTGAATACAAGAAGGGAAACAACGCCTTTGGAGCCACAAAAAATATAATATAAATTTATGGAAATGTTTTGAACGTTCATAAGTGTCAACGATGGTTCAGCAAATTTCGTTCAGGTGAGTTTAGCCTTAAAAATTGTGATGGCAGAGGCTGACATGTTGGAATTGATATTGATGCTCTGAAGACGCTTGTTGCGTCTAACCCAAGGCAACACACTCGTGAAATGGACCCTGAAACTTGCATGTCTCTCATGAAATAATACGTAAACATCTAAGG